TAGGTAGCGATCACCTTGAAGAGTCACTGACCCAGCCCCTTAGAGGAAAAGCCCCTGTTCTGTGTTCATGCCCACTTGCTACGTGACTTGCTTCCTCATTTGATCCAGATTTAATCAATTTTACCTGAACAATTCTTATTGGCTGACCATGGTTTTGTCCACTTTTTCCCTACCTTGGACCTGCCTTACCTTGTGGTTTTGCTCTGTAAAAGTCCCTAGAAAAGACAGAGCCTTGGGCAACCCACTCAGGCCCCCTTCTGGCCCTCTCTTGGGCAGAAGCTTTCTTTTTCTCAGTAAATATATTCTTAACGCCCATTGTTCCTAAAATTCATTCTTCAATTTTAGAGAACATGACCTCACCCCAGATATCATTCAGGTTGGGAGTTTTTATTTTCCTGTGTCATTGTCATAATAGGTCTCTATGATGCTGCACCCGCATGCTCACCTGTCAGCTCACCTGTGTGCACCACAATTGTTTTGCATAGTTCCCTGGGACAAAAATATTTTGTTTTTCCTCCAGTGCAAATGATCTCTTAAGAGTTCCAGTCCCATGGGGCTGGGGATTTAGCTCAGCGGCACAGCACCTGCCTGGCAAGCACAAGGTCATGAGTTTGATTCCTGGTACCAAAAACAAAACCAAAAAAAAAAAAGAGTTCCAGTCCCAGTCCTCTCAGAAAATTTCTCCATGATATTTTGCACTTGTTGTTTTCATTGTAAGCTATCAACGTACGCCACACATGTTTAGGATCAAGTAAAGCACAGCCATTGGCCAATGCTTTGTGTTTCAAGTGACGTCACAGCTGCTGCATATCTCATCAACAACATCAACTCTGCCTTTGGTTTTGTTGTAGAAAGGTTCCATCTCAGACTACAGTTTTATTTTGTTTTTGTCTTTTTGAGAGAGGATCTTGCAGTGCAGTTCAGGCTGACCTTGAGCTCACTTTGTAGCCCAGGCTGGTCCTGAACTCACAAAGATCCTCTAGCTTCAGCCTCCCAAGTGCTGGGATTACAGGCGTGCGCCACCATGCCCAGCTCAGGCTTCAGTTCTGTCAAGGTTTCCTCATCAATAGTTCCATCATGGTGAAATGTTGACAGCCCCACCAGTTCATCCTTCTTTGCCACGTACAAGGCCAATGTTACGTCTTTCTGAAACCCAAAGATTGTGCTATACAATTCTCTGTATTGAAATTGCAGCATTTCATTTGGAATTTCTGCTTTGTTCCTGAGTCCTGCGCTGGTCAACTTGTCCTCTGGTAGCAAATGCAACGTCAATTGGAAACCAATGAACCCATTGTCAAATGTCATGTTCCAAGTAGTTTGCAGATGGGAGCAGCAAATCTGCTCACAGCATCATTCAGTCTGTTACCCTATGAATAAGGACCTGATGGCTGAGTTCTAGGACAAATGTCTAAATTGGAAGAATAACTGGGCATGGTGGCACA